AGAAAGGACTATAAAAAGAGAGTGTTTAGCTTGTATCCGTGAGAATAACGAGGTAAACATCTTGTGAAAAATGAAGATGTCTATAAAAAGAGAATATTTGGGATAGTTAGTAAGGGCACATGTAAGCAACTGTTAACCAACAAATTAAGCGCTACTATATCACACTGTTAACCAACAAATTAAGCGCTACTACATCACAGACCAATAGGAAATTAACACTGTGTGTGCACAGTGTGTGAAAAACAGTATAAAAGAAGCACCGTAGAGATGGTGGGGAATCAGAAATAAAGTTGTGCTCTCATCACAGATCCTGTGTCCTGACATCTCTACATTCACAGTGTTGTCTGCAACACCTGAGAAATATGATGATCTTTCAGTTAAAACTTGGGTAAGCATTGGTGTTCCCATTGCTGTTTTTTCACCCAAGCATCCTAAGGTTGTGGGACTGTAGACCCAATTTTGAAACCCTAACCTAACTGAAATCATCCTTATTTAAGTTAAACAAAGTGTGTTAATGCTGAGTTTCTGGAAACTACTCTAGTAAAACGGAGATAGCTAGAAGAAGAAGCATGTCATCTACAAACCTTTAAAAACCTCTACAAATTTACAAGACCTTTAAAGGACAAGGAATAAATTGACATCTGTGAAGTGCTATTCTCAAAGACGTTACCAAGTAATTCTTGCTTACTTCTAAATGTGCAGAAACTTACAGGATTGCAAGATTCATAAACTGAGGTACCTGTTTAAGAGTAGCTGCTAGCCCCCAATCTCTGATTTGTTTCCTTTGCCTTCCTGATGTGTTTGGTGTGCTGTGGAGTTCTTGAGATTTCTTCTTACTTTCTAATATAGTTGGCTCCCCCCATACTATATCTGATAATAGCTACCATAAAAGACATGTCCTTTTGCCTTATACATGCAAGCTCTTGATCCCTGCTTGGTCACAGTAGTCTGCAAAGATTTTCCTGTCTCATTTGGTTCTCATAAGATTCAGCAGGTCTTTTCAAAGAGAACTTCAGATGACACATTTAATGAGATGTGCTTACTTGGGCAACCACACACCACTAACTAGAGAATCGTTCTGCTTGTCAGAAGAACCCTTTCAGGTTATGGGTGACTGCATAAATTCTCTTACTGTTTCTCATTGCTGAGCTAAGAATACATTTTTTTTCTAACTCTGAGTCAGTTTCCAAGTAGGACCGGTTGGAGCACGGCTTAATTTTGCCAGGATATGATAGTTTCTATTACATTAACTTTCAAGGGAACAAAATTAATCTCAACTTACATCATATTCCAAGCTCAATAACTTCAAAGAATTATTCAATAAGAGATGACAATAATGAAGGGGAAAAAAACCTCTAGTTGAAAAGTTAAACATTGTTACTGTGTATCCAATATCATGTAGTGTTGCATTAAAGCTACTCTTGAGCTTTTTTTGTTTCAGGTTAAAATAACACTGTTCTGAAGGCAGAGTTTCAGTGGGCTTTAATTTTCAAGTAAGCTCCCTTCAAGCATATGCATCTTAGTAAAATTTCTGAAGGTAAAAGTGTTGTGCAACAGGAAAAAGCTACAAGCACATGGAGTAAATTTTAGATAGGGGACATCATAGGGTAAACTTTGACTCCACATTTGAAATCAGGCAAGCTTTTCAAAATAGTGCTATTCTACCTTTCAATGCAATT